ACATTTTGGCAGCAAGACATTTATTTCCATTCAATTGTTAAAAGAAAAATTACATAAACGTTTCTTGTAACTACTTCTCTAAAGAAGGAAACAAGTACTTGGGTTTACTTGACTATTTGTGTCCTTGTTGCTGTGGTCTCGTCTTGTAGTTCCAGGCCTGTATCATCAACTATCAGGACACCTCTGGCAGACAACCCCCCACCCCACCCCCCACCACCCACTGGACCTGCCTGCCTATTCAGCATGTCCATTTTATCAAAGATGATGATGGTAACCTCATTTAAAGGAGACAGGTATTTAAAATTAGAATGTATATATATTTTTTCACACAGTAACTGTTTAAGCAACAGAACAACTGTTAAAGGACAGGGCATCTGTCAGTGGAAATTTGCTTGGGATTTCAAATTAAGCTCAGAACATTTGCTTGCAAACACTAAATCACAGGGGATTAGGGTCATCTTAAGGGCCAGCTCCAACCCAGTTTCACTAAAACCTGGTGGGTCACCCTCTCCCTTGAAGCCCCTGAACTGTGTGAGCAATAATAGTGTGTGATTGAGTAGATGCAATATTTATTTATTTATTATTTTAAATAGTTTTATTGATGTTTAGAGGGAGAAGAAGGGAGAGGGAGAGAGAGAGAGAAACATCAAGGTGAGAGACAACAATTGCTGCCTCCTGCACGCCCCCTACCAGGGATCAAGCCCACAACCCGGGCATGTGCCCTGACCAGAAATGGAACCAGCAACCTTTTGGTGCATGGACTACGCCCAACCAGCTAAACCACACTGGCTAGGGCTAGCCAATGCAATATTTAAAATGGGGAAGAGCGTTGGTGGCAAATTGCTATAAATGGAATGTTCATAGAATAGGGGTTCTCAGATTTGAGTACACATAAGAATTAGTGGGAGAACTTGTTCAAAATGCAGGTTCCTGGTCCTCTCTCTGGATTCTCATTCTGTACATATAGATGATTTGCAGGATTCTTCTTTTTAAAAATTTCCCTTGGAGATTCTGTCACAAAGATTCCTTGGGCCACTTTTGAGAAAACCTGTTATAGAGTGTGATCTTTTGCAAGTGGGCAGAGAGAGCACCCACAGACCGAGATCACCCATCCCAAAACGAGGCTCAAATAGGACTGAAGTTGGAACGTTTGCATGGCACCGGGGGGAGGGGACCTGAAAACAATTTTTCTACCTGGATTTTTAATAATGGTACTTTACCTGTGAATAAAGAACTTGCAGTGTGTCCAAGTTTTAATGCCAAATAGTGGCTTACTAGTAGGACCACTTTGAAGGGTTTTATCTGGAAGGCATTATTTGTATTTTCAGATGCTTGGAATGTGCACTTGAAATATTCCTTACCTAAGGGGACTCTGGCAGGCACAGCTCTGCGGTCGATCCAGAAGGAAACCCAGGACAGCATGACCATCAGGGTGGCAGGGAAGTAAGTTTGGAGCAAGAAGAAGAAGATGTGGCGACGCAACGTGAAGTTAATGTACAGACGGTTGTACCAGCCTGGGGGACACAAGGAAGAAAATACAGCACACACCATAGCTGTTCAGCTCCTTCATAAATCAAATTTTATTCAGGGAATCATCAATGTCTTAGACACTCCACTGGAACCTGGCCATACCTTTACAAAGTGGAGGTGAGAAAAACCATGGAACGGAGTGATTATATGTTACCTATACCACACGGATGATTCCATCTCAAGAAATCTTTGACCCCTGTTCTATACACAAAGGGAACCCCTTGAGAAGGTCATTTAGGGCTCTTGTTACTCACACGATGGACAGGACTCAACAGCATCACCATCACCTAAGAGCTTAGAAATGTAGACTCTCGATCCCCACCCCAGATCTACTGAATCAGAATTTTCTCTTAATAACACTCCCCATGTGATTCACACACACATTAAAGTTGGAGAGGCACAGATTTAAACAACCCCGTTTGGATGGTTTTTTGGAGGAAAATGTGTTTTAAGTTAGAACATCAAGCTAAACACAGCATCGCGTTTAGGAGCAGAGTGAACGATCACAGGTCCAGTCACGCTTCAGCTTGGACTTTGTGGTCTTTACAAGGGAAAAATATGCATGGAGGAGTTGAGAGGAATGGAGAACAATGAAAGGAAAAGGCAAGATAAGCTCAAGATGACAAGGACTGGAAATAAAATGGGGACTTGGCAACATTAGTTGGAAAACTTGGCATCCAATTGGCAAGTTTAATGCAACGTTTATAATTATAACAGTTCCCGAAAGTGATTGTAGAGGTTCTGTGGACTGAATGTTTTGTGTCCACCCCTCCACTCTCCTCCCCCCCGGAAATCCATATGTTGAAACCTAATGCCCAATGTGATGGTTTGGTAAGGAGGGACCTTTGGGAGGTGATGAGGTTGCGAAGGTGGAGCCCTCATGAATGGGATTAGTGCCCTTACACAAGAGACCACAGAGAGTCTGTGAGGACACAACGAGAAGGGGGCTGTCCATGAGAAGGGGGCTGTCATCAGACACCGAATCTGCCAGCACTTTGATCTTGGACTTCCCAGGTCCCAGAACCGTGAGAAACAATTTCTGTTATTTAGGAGCCAGCCACCCAATCTGTGGTATTTGTTAGAGCAGCCCAAACAGGCTAAGACAAAAGGGAATCTCACAATGCTAAAGGTTCAATGGATGGGGAGCCCCTGAAGAACCAAGATTCATGGGTGATATGTAAAGAAGATAAGATGTGTTAGATTGCCATAATATGTTGGAAGTAAAAGGTTGCCCTATGTTTACATCAGAAAGACTTAAAAGGTTGCACTTCCCTCTGTAGTCAATCATGCTATGTGTTAGCGATGGAAACTGCATAAAGATCCTAGCAAAATCATCCTGAAAGGTGATTTGTCAAGAAAGAGGCAAGGGCTGGAAAGAGGGGACCTCAGCTGTTAACTTCAGATTCCAGAGGGAAGACCACAGAGCATACCCTCAGGCAACAGGAGGTGGCAAGCCTGCCCAGAACCTTGGTTCAAAAAACAAATTGCCCACAGGGAAATGACCAGTAGTTCTTGCACCGAGGCTCACAAGAAGGATCTGTGTAAGCAGCACAGTAAGAGAAGATCCCTTAAGACTGGAGCCCCGTAGAGGGCCTGGCTGAAGCAGAGAGAATGTGAATGGAAAATGACAGACCTGAAATTGGACTGCTTCTTGCCTGCAGAGAACAGGGGGGTTGGTAATCATATCAGGGTGAGCTGCCTGATGCTAAACGGTCATTACTGATGTTTTCTAGGTTCTCACTTCTGATGCTTTGTTGACGTCAAAAAGTCACCTCCACCCAATGCTCACCACCCCCTGACCTGATTTAGCTTTCCCTTCTTTGGTGTCTAATTCGAGTGGCACAGGCTCTACTCACTTGGCAGCCAGTTCGAACCCTTTTTTAAAATAGAGGATGGCCCATCCCAGTCAGGCTAGCGCTCGCCAGACCCTCAGCCCACTCTACGCCCACCTGTGCTGCTGTAGAAGGCCAGCTTAGTGGTGGTGTGGAATTCTTGAATGAGGAACTGGGAGAGTGAGATTCGCTCATCTGTCTTTAATGAGTCATTGCCTTTTTTCCAGTACAGCATCAGGTCATCTTCTGTATAAGCATCTGAAAAGATGGGAGAGAGCATGAGGCATGTGGCGGTGGGAAGACACGCCTGTCTGTGCAGCTCTGTGGCATAGAGCTCCTAATTCCTGCAAAAGGGTTCACCCCGCAATTCAGCCTGCCATCTATTCAATTAAACCAAATGAAATCGCTGTTTCTGTAGATCACAAGTGGTTAAATAATGGCAGAATTGCATATGGTTTTCAGCCTTCAAAACCAGGGCAATTTAGCCCTTTCTTCTTTCCAAGTGTAGGGGTGCATCATTGGTGGCAAATGCTTTTACCACTCTCAGTGATAAGGAAAAGACCCAGAAAGAGACGGGAGCAGAACACATCCCTGTTCTGTAGGCCTCCCGCTGCTCCTGTCAGAACTACTTAGGAGCTGCATGCTAACGTCTGGCACAAGGCTACTCACAGCTTTCAATTTCAAGCGAGCAGGTTTGTGTGTCCAGGGGAAATCGGCTGAAGTCCATATTGCACATGGCGGTCACTGTAACCCTGAAAACAAGAAGAAACGTCCGGGTTCTCAGAGGATGCAAACTACAAGTGCACAATGCAAAACGCAAAAACAAACAGAAACGGCCTCCTTCTTATAATTCCTAAGCAATGCATCAGGATTTAGATGGAGCAGTTTATGAGTGATACCCTCCTTAGCATACTCTTAAGTGTTTAAGTTTAACCCCGGTGTCGGTGTGAGGCAAACAGAATGCTTCTGCTAACTCCTATCACGTTCATGCATTTTAAAGAAGCAATGATCTCAGTCAATATAACTGTGATATAAAAGTAACCATAAGACCGTACATATGCAGGCATACCTCATTTTATTGTACTTTACTTTATTGTGATTCACAGATGTGTCTTTTTACAAACTGAAGGCAAGACCCCCCAGCAGCAAAAAGATTATGACTCGCTTTATTGCAGTGGTCTAGAATTGAACCTGCAATATCTCCGAGGTATGCCTGTATTGTTCCTCTGGTTTGAGATAAATTCAAGTTCTTCTGTTCTTTTATTGATCATATTGATATCAATATGTTGATATTCAATATGTTGATATTGATTATATTGATATTATATTTGTGTACTATGTTTCAGAAGTAATATTAATGAACCCTTAATGCCAGTTGCCAAATGCAGCACTTTTTTTAGTGTTCATATTTTTATATTGATAATAATGTCTGCTAATGAATATAGATGTTTTTAGTGCATAAGCCCATGGAGACTATATAATGGAAAAACACTGAGAGATCTTAGTGTACCAACATGCAAGCATCTAATGGTTTTGTTTTATAATTACACAGGAAAACAGGCTTCTGAATCAAAGAATAAACAAGTAGATCATCAGTCATAGAAGAAAGCTTTCCCATCTTATGGCAGGACATGACTAATATGGCTGGTATTCAACATACTATTTTTTCTTCAATAACAGAAAATTGGCTACATAGAAGTAGAAAAACAGACATGGGTTAGATTACACCACAGACTGTGCTTGTTCAGTGTGTGGGTTGCAAGTGGAGAAGCATCAAGTCAGGATGCACCCACCTACATTCCGGTCCTCATACTCTTAACTCTTCCCAACAACTCCCTGGCACCCAGAATGCTCTTATTAGAAATGTATTCTGTTAATTAATCAATGAAAAGATGGAGTTGGAAGATGGTATATTAGAACATATTTTAGGAGTTAACCTTTTGCTGACAGAGTTGACAATATCCAGCTACTCTATGTTTTTCCCCAAATAAATCTCAAAATGGTAGTGTTTAGAAACTTAGGCCTCTTTTTTCCCCTTTTAAATCAAACAAACTCATGATTTTATTTTCAATAAAAGCATCAAGTCATCTGTTTTTAGGCACAAGGAGGCTCACTGACAACTTTGATTCTGAACACACAGGTCTTCCCTGCTCTTGTGCCCTCTGTTCTGCCTCATGCTGTCACATCCAGTGATGTGTTGAATCAGACATCTACTGGCTCATGAGAGCCGATCACTGCATTTTCAGGAGGTTTGCAAGCTGGTTGTTAAACATAGCCGTTATTAAAATTAAATTATATAAATTTAAAATTAAATAAGTTAAGCACTAAAAATAAACGTAATAAATATTCAAAACTCATCACTTCTGAATTATTTTCTATTATCTACACTCCTGAAGTTACCTACATCTACTATACTGTATTTATATGATGGAAATACTATCTAAAGATGAGCTACCACCCATTTCTTCCCAACACTGCATTCAGTGACATCAGATAGCTTGAAATCAGCCAGGATGGGCATATCTACACTACAGAAACTGGCAAATTCTGCAATCAGGGCTTGATTTATTGCTTTGCTGACTGTTTAGACTTAAGAAAGTGTCTAAAGAAAGCAGATTAAACCTAACAGTGTATTATGGCTATTACCATTACATGCAAAAAAAAAAGGGGTTTAAGGGGACCAGAGAGCTGAAGGAGGGGAGTCATTGAAAAGAATGCATTATTTATTTCTCTGACTCCCACTAGAAAAATAAAACTTTTATTATAGTAAAGGTTTTCCATTGAAATGTAACAGACAGGGTAGAACGTAAGTCATAACTATCAGCTTGAGGAATTTCCCCAAGTGTATTTTCAAGACTGAGTAATTCTTAACTCATGTGTAAGAGTCCATTTTTCTTGATGTTGAAAAGTTGACAGCTCCTGAAGAGTTAAAGGCCAGCTATTCAAGGCCAAAAAGCAAAGTACTTGTTGTAGAACCAGTGACTTTCTTGGTTAAGACAAACTGCTTGCCTTTCTTCCCAAGCTCGAGGTATAAAAAACATACCAACTCCGCAGGTAAAAGGGCCCAGAGGGAGGACGGAGCCGGGCCTCACCTGAGGCTGTAGAGCACCGTCCCGTCGGGCTGGACCCGCAGCATGACGTTCTCCGTGGTGGTGTCGTGGATGAAGGAGCGCTTGGAGTGCACAAAAAACATGTCGGGGACCCAGATCTTCTTCACCAGCCGCCCGTCAAACGTCATGCTGAGGTTGTTGGTGCTGGGGAAGGACAGCCTCTCGTCCTTCCAATAGTGCCTCAGGTAGAGGGTCATGGTGAAGTCCTGGGCAGAGGGCAGAGAAGGGAACCCCACACACTGAACCCACTGGTTGTCAGCAAGGCATTCTCTACCCCTGTGGAGCCATCACCTGGCTGGGAGTGAAACTGAGCTGCCAGCACTGTGCCCGCTGCCGCTGCCAGAGGGCTCCCGGGCGCACACACAGGGCAAGCAGGAGACTGAATGCCTCTGGAAGCAGCTCTCAACCGGAGAGTGGGGTTGGGGGCTCAGGGGGATGGATAAGTGCCCCAGCGCCCTGGATACTCAGTTGGGACAACCCTGAAGTGTGCTCCGTGCTGACTCCCAGAGTACCCCAATGGGACAGCGTTTCACCCCCCAATAGTAAGCGATGTGATGGCACTGCCCTTTTCGCTCCATTCCCTTCCCTGTCTCACCTTCCCACTCTCTTCTCATGTTTCCTGGAATCACCTCCCAAATAAACGCCTTGTGCTAAAATGCTGTCTCAGGTCTGCTTCTTGGGGGACCCAAACTAAGATAAGGCCCTCAAAAGTTCTGTAAGTCAAGAAGTTCTAGACTGTTCCATTTTTTAAATCTAAACCCAAAGGTGACAAAAAGGGACACTCTGCTTCTGCATTTCCGCAGCCAGACAGAATCCGCAGCAGTGGAAGGTGCCAGGCCACTTGGCAGCCGCAGCCTTGGGCCCTGCTGTTTATGTTCGAGAGCCTTTGCCCAGAGAGCACTTCCTGATGCCAGGAGCCGGGCCCAGGAGGACGAAGATCAACTGTGTCCTCTGGCTCTGCTTCATACCACTTGGGTGGCTTTCGGTAAGTGTCTTACTCTCCCTGAGCCATCTGTGCCATGAGTGTGGGAATGCCCACCGCCAGGGCAGAGCTCTGGCCAGCACCGGCCCTGCGTGGATTCCCTTGGCCGGAAAGAGAAGCACTTACCATATCGACTTCTGAGATGCTGTCCAAGCTTTCCACCTGCACATCCACGCCAACAGGAATGGCCGGACCTGCGGACAGGGAATGGCAAGAGCATTTAGTCTTTTAACTTAAACTTTTACTATGAAAAATTTAGGCATAAGGAGCATTCCCCCTGGAACCTCAGTGTATGTCGGATTTCAAGGTCTGGTGTTCCCACATGCCACGCTGAAGTCAAACCAGAGATCAAAGAATGGAATCATGGGCTGGCTCCCTGGAATAGTCCAGCAAAAGTCTAAAAATATATATTGGTCTTAATCATCCAGGTGATTCTGAAACAAGGACGTTAATATACCACATCCCTGGTTGGTTACACATGCTCCTGTAAAGCTACAATGAAGATCGAGGTCAAAGCTGATCAGAACCAGGTCTGGCCTGAGGAGTTACTCCTTAGCATGAGGTCATCCACTTTATTTTTTATATCTTCCTCCTGATTCTGCACCCTCTTTCATCGTGGAAGCCAATGCCTCTGTCAGGCCGTGGGAAAGGCATTGCTTGGTAAATAGGCACCCAGAACCTAAGTCATACTCAGATGATTTTCCAAGCCCACAGATCTGCATCTTGGCCCCGTGATGGAGTAGCTTGGGGGCGGGGGGGATGATACACCAGGTGTCCTTGAAACCATTAGATTTTTTTTTTTTTTGCATTTCTAGGTCATGAAAACTTAATATTCATAAAGGGTGAAAAAATAAAATGTTCTAAAGGGAGTGGGTTGCTGCCCCTTTTCCTCCCTGTTTTCAGGCACGTGGGGCAGGCACAGAACACACTTGGATCATCATGTGAAAAGGTGGGTTTGAATCCAACAGCAGCAGATTATGGACTGAATAGCGACTCCCTTCTAGAACTTGTTTATTCTTTGGGTGAAAGTGCTGGAAAACATAAAAGGCATGAGAATGATTTCTAAAATAAGTATTTTTTTCTAGGAAAAACACCCCATACGGATGAAATCCTATTTGACACTAAAAGGGCTGAAATCCGGCAGCTGCAGGCTAAGCTTCAAAGAGCTTTGGCATCCCACTACACTAAATGATTATTTTTCTCAAGCTATTTTCATTTAATTAAACCCAGCAGTCCACCCTCTGCCCTCAGATATGTACCCAGGGTTCTGTCTGCCAGCTCCCAGATGAGAACAAATTTAGCTCAAGGTTGTTATTCAGAGCATTTCCAGAGGCAGCTTTGGGCTGCAGCTGTCCTGTCTCCCCATGCCCTTCCCACAGCCAGCTGCTGGCTTCTCCAACCCTGAACCATCCTTGCCAGGACCAATGGCCTGAGGACAGCTCGGCCTGGCCACAGACCAGCAGGCACCTCCTGAGAGTGTGTTCAGCAGAGCCTGGGTGGGGCCGGGCAGGGCCGGGCAGAGCCAGACAGGACAGATGCTCAGAAGATGCTGGGGACTCAGTGCCTTGTCCACCAAGCACGGCCGAGGCAGACCTGATAAAGGGAGAGCAGAGCTGGGTGGTCCCTTGGCTTGACTTTTGCCCATAGACAGTCTGATGGACCCAAAGAAAGAAGACGATTCCCAAGAGCACACGTCTCATACCTCCGAAGCCGGGCCTCATGCTGAAGTCATGGTCATCTATCCGCAGAAGCTGCTCTGACTTTGTCAGTGGCGATTTGGTGATGTCAGGGCTTCGTTTCAGAACTGGGCTGCCAAGGGGAAAACAGGTTGATCACATATTCTAATTAAGCCGGATAAAAAACCATTTGCATTCGGGCTTGATCTTGACAAGTTTGATGGGATATGTTAATTCTTCTTTTAAGCTACTGGGTGTCCTCTCTTCCTTGCACCAGCTTTCTGGATAAATGAACTGAAAGTCCAAGACAGTGATTTAGAAACATGACTGAGGAGCTTTAAAACACCAATGTCCAGGACCCTCCTCAGAGTTTCTGATTTGGGTGGCCTGGGAATGGGGCCTGATAGCTAACCCAGCTAAATAATTTATCCAAGAGCATGCAAGGAGTAGGTGGCAGACAGATTTTGAATACAACTGAATTTCAACGCTTATGTTAAATCATCAAGTCCTCACACAAGTGTAAAGGGATAGAAGTTTTATTCCCCTTTTATAGTAATAAAATTGAGGTTCCACATGTTAAATCAATTGTCCAAGATTCTCCTGTTTTGTGCATGTGTTCGCCTTGCTTCCCATGTTATTTGTATAAATCATGAAAAGAAGCCTGGATACAAATGACCACCAACTTGTGAGCTTAGAATCTGGGTGAAATTAAGTGAGCCCTTGAAAAGTTTAGGTTACATAACATGAAAACTTAACCTGGCTGGTGGAGGGTCCTCAAGTTGAGTCCATCATTCTGGAAAGCAGTTCTGCCAAATAAGTCTGGAGATTTCAATGTTCTCAGGCCATTTGACCCTTTACTTCCAGGAGGTCATCCTAATTCAATAATTGTGTATGTAGACAAACATTCTTTTGTACAAAGATATTCTTACAATAACAAAGGAAGCAACTAGATGTCTATAAAATAGAGGAAACTGCTTGAACGGTGGTATGTTGTGCCTTATTATGCATATTATGGGTTATATGCAGCCATTCAAATGGACTTTACATAAGTAAACATGTTGACAAAGTCATATTAAATACAATAAGGTTACAAAACTATGTGCACAGAATAATCCCACACTAGTCAATATACAATATATACTTAGGTAAGAAAATACTGGGAGGAAAATGTACAAAAATGTTAAGGTTATTTCTGGGTTTGGGGATTATGGATGATTTCTGTGTGTTTTTAAAACTCTTTTCTCATTTAACAAAATTTAAATAATTGTCATGTATGTCTTTTATAATTAAAAAAAAATGAAAGTTCTTGTAAGCAATTTTTTTTTAAAGAAAATCTGTTTTGCTCTCCAGGACTTCTCTTTAATATTGGTGTTTATCAATAAGCCGCCACTCTAACTCCGGCTTAGGAGAGAGGCGGAGAAGTTTTTGATGACAACAATAGGGTTTGTTGCAGCTGTTGCTTTTAATCCTCATGAGTACAGTTGATTCAAATAATCTCTGTGGCTCCAACAGCTCCACAAATTCCACTGTTTGCTCAAGCAGCTTCTGACTCTGACAGAAACAGGGCCTATGGCTTGTGCACAGCCATCTCTCTCCGTGCCCAGGACTCGCCATGACCACTGGCTGGTTCAGCTCCCGGCCTTGTCATGTTGCTAAAGCAGCTGTAACCGGTGCTGTGAGCCACAGCCGGCTGTTCAGGAGCCACGTGTGCAGCGCTCTCTCAAACCCTGAATCGGGGCACTGAGGAGCCAGACACCCAGCCCCCCGCCAGCCCCAAACTCCAGAAAGCTGGACTTCCTTTATATTAATTTCTTTTCCAACCTCTATTCATATCTACATCCAGAGATAAAGACAGCTGAAGGTCAGTTTGGACCAAAGCCTGGGAAGGAACCAAGAGTCAAGCATGTCCGTACTGCCTCTATTTCCTCTTCAGTGAAGAGAGCGCTGGGTGAGGTTTTCTCCAAAAGTCCTGATTGATCGATGGGTGTTGGGCACGCACGGGTGCAGGTCGGCACCTACATACCAGCGCTGTCATCAGAGCTGCCCAAGTGACTCTGGGGGAGGGAACAGCAGCCTGGTCTGTCTAAGCTCCCTCCTCTCGGGCTGGTACGGCCAGGGTGGCACGTACCATGCTGGCAACGAGCAAGCCAGCCGGTCTGCAGGCAGCTCCGTCCCTCCCCCTCCCCATTCACCAGGAGAGAACAAGCTAATGATCCTTCTAGCCATTTGTTCAAAGCAACCTGCTTTGTTTCCTTTTAAATGATTTTTAAACGGACCCGCAAATCCAGCAGAAATAATTGGAACTAATGGGATCATTCTCACTAATTTGAGGTCCCAGTGGTTGAGAATTTGTAGATTTGTTCCAACTTAGAATGCAGATATCAAATAATTTGCCTTTAATTTTTTTTTTTTTTTTTTTTTTTTTTTACAAATGTGCCTATACTGTATTCGTTTTTCCAGAATTTATCTCTCACCTGGGACAATTCATAAGAGATTTAAGAATATGCAATGATAGCAATGTATCTGATCTGGCATCATTTAAAAATAAAACATAATTCTCACTTCCTAAGAGGAGGGAAGCAGGAGAACAAAGGGAAAAGGAAGGAAAAGGCATCCGCAGATAGCACCATAGGCTGGGAAAGGTTCCAGGACAACATCGTAAGCCTTTTCCCTACGCCCTCCACCCCTAAACGTCCACTCACCTGCCTTTCTTAGACATCTCCTGGCCTTCTCCTCCTCGCCAGTGCACTCTGCTTTCAGTGGCACAAACCCATCCCCACCACAAAAGGAAGACGCCAGCTTTCATGTTCTGGACAGCCAAATCCAAGCAGTTCTCTCAAGAAACAGCAAAAAGGAAAAGACTGTTATTTTTCTCGCTTAAGACATTATTGGTCTGTTCATTATTAGAAGGATATTTGCTCATGCAAAAAAACCAAAACACAACAAACATACTAACCCACAGCATGTAATCTGGAGAGCAGGAGAGAGCAACTTCCACTAAACCTATAAATCCTCCTACGTCAGATGTCAGGGATTTTCTGAACTGAAGTAGAAGTCCTGTTTCCCAGTGGAACAATTATTTTGACTGGTCTAAATTACTTCATCGTCAGATGTGGTAAATATGTTTGTAAACATCTATATTTTCTGGTCCAATGAAGAAGCAAATAAAAATGAACCAAAGCCATTTCCAAACTGAGAAATGTCAGAGGTGCGGAACTGCTCCTATGCCACATGAATGTGCTCCTTTCTGCATCTATTTTAAGCTTCCAGCAATTATCATTTGCTTTAGCTGGATTTGGACAGCTCCCTGCCCCCACTCTTTCTGCCGTTGAATCTGTGGAACCAGGGCTGGTACTGGGCACAATCAAACCATGAATGCTTATTCAATCATCTGGTGATTCTCTGAACAATCCCTCAAATATTTGGGCAAAAATCCTTGGGAGTTGGGCACCTTGGTCTCCTTCCTGTGAGGCAACCCTTATGTCTTGTTTTGCAAGCTCTTTCCAACACACTAGGTTTTTAAAAATGTCTTTTTTTATTTAAATGAATTAGAGGTTATAAATATGAATGAGCAATGAAGAGTCAGTATGAAAAAAACACACATATATAATCCTCCACCCTCAAAAAAGAGAATGAAGAAAGGCAACACTAAGGATTTCTACTTTTAAAAAATACCATGGCTTGCTATTTTAGATTACTTGAATTTATCCCTCTCTCAGGCTGGAAATGAGCGTACTTATGAAGTACAAGGCACTTTCAGCAGGGTCATGGACATCTTAGATGGCTTTGAACTTTTCTTTTTGCAGGGCTTTGGACATTTTTGACTTGCTGTACTGCACTCTCTTTTGGAGATAATCCCTCTAAATTATAGATCCGTCTAGGAGTAGGAACAAATAAATATTTATAAAGTGCTGTGTCAATGAAACACTAATATCACAGAAGTAATATGCAACAGTATCCTCAATAAATGACCCATGGAAAACTGAAGGGAGTCCATCAATGCATACAGGTACGCTTGACTCAAGCTGGCTTAACCAAAAATGTGTTACCTCACAAACCAAGAAGTCCAGGCCACGGGTTTTTTTTGACTTAGTGGTGTCATCAACAAGCCATCCTTTCACGTGTCCTTTTTCCTCTGACCATCTTATTCGCACCTGCAATATGGCTGCCAGAGCAATGAGTCTCCTTGCTCGTATCCAGTGTGAAAGCCAGAGGGCAAACCTCTTCCCAGAACGTGGAGGATAAGCCCTTCCCTTCAGTCTGACTGGGCCGAGGAAGGTCATCAAGTCCACCCCTGGACCAGTAAACTTTATCAGAGAAACATGTGCTTGGATCGGCTTAGACCAGTGATTTTCAACCAGAGTCACAAGTTTTGTTTTTTGTTTTTAATTTATTGTCTAAAGTTTTACATATGTCTCCTTTTTCCCCGCTTGCCCCCCCCCCATTCCCACCCTGGGCAAGCCCCCACCGCCTCAGTGTCTGTGTCCATTGGTTATGCTAATATGCATGCATGCAAGTCCTTTGGTTGCTCTCTAAACGCTCCCCCCGCCCCGCCCCCCCCCCCCCCCCCCTGGATAGAGCGTCGCATTGCGGACTAAAGGCTCCTATTTTTTTTTTTTTTTTTTTTTATGTTTTTTTTTTGCGGGGACCTCCCCGAAAAGGGGGTGCCGGAGGAAGGTGGACGATCTCACTCAACAAAGTTTCAAGCTCGCTGTCACTCCCCCTTCATCGCTGGAGAGGATCAGAAACATATATTTATTAAAGAAACAGAAAAGAGAGCCAAACATTGCTCAGGACCCAAGGACTACCCGGAACAAATCTAGGAAAATCCGTGGAGGAAAAAATAATTCTATATCCTTCCAACACTCTTCTAACTATTGAGAAATATGAGAAAAATTCCAAACTCATTTTATGAGGCCAGCTTTACCATGATACAGAGACAAAGACACTACCGCGGGGAAAATATGGCCCATATCTTCGAATAAACTCACATTAAAATACTCTCGACAAGTGCTAGTTCAACAAATTTAAGAGCACATAAATGGCATATAGGACCGGAGCACGTAGGATTTAGCCTTTGGGATGCAAGAATGCTATGCGGTGCAATAAGAATTAATGGGGGTG